GCTAAACGGAAAAAGTTGTAAAAGTTGCCACACATGGAACATGCCTAGCAGAGCTTTCCCGTTGAGGAGTAAAATCGGTTAGGAGTATAGGGTTAGGAGTAGGGTTAGGGTTACGGTGCTGTAGGAAGCTCTTTTTGATTGGGGAGCTGAAAGCGAGGGCCGAAGGCCCGAGGAAATTTTTTAATTTAGAGTGTCTGAAATGCCATTTCCGGGACTTTGGGGAAGATTTGACAGAATTCTGATGGTAAGAAAACAGCATTTTAGCATGTTGAAATTTACAATTTAAAAGCACTAAATGGGCGGAGGCGAATTTAATTAACTATATATTGGATAAGTCGCAGGAAAGTATGAGAAATATATTCATTCTTTGCAGTTTGTCTTGGGGATATTGTAGCTGCTTAAAATTAGTTAATTGTCAGTATTTTAAAGGTATATTATTTACATGATAAAGGTCTGCATGACTTTTTTGGGGGGAGGGGGTGCCCCCGGTTGCTACGGCCCTGGGTTAGGAGTAGGGTTAGGGTACTACGTCAGTGAACTACAAAGACCGCTAAATAGCTAGTGACTCGGACATTTGACCGGACATATTTGACTCGGGCTCGGATATGATTCGGACTTGACACGGTACAAACCGACAAACTCCTCAATACTAAATTAAACCATGTATAAAATACCTAGTATAAACTAGTGTATATAGTATATACCAAACTTTCCCTGGACGTAATGTTGCTACATCGCTTACTCGTTAATTATCTTTTTTACTAAAATGTGCATAATTGAAATATGACAAAAATTTATGGCAAGTTCATGGCAAAAGTTATAAAGGTAGATGTTCGATTATTTTTCATATTAGCTGCGCGCATTGCATTTTGGGTATTTGTGCATTGCATTTTGGGTCTATCTGTTGACTAAAATTGAGAATTATGCCAGTTACATGCATTAAATTGTCTGCCTTGCTCGCTCCCTGTTGTAGCAATAATCGTTACATGTCAAATTTTTCTCCACTATAATACCACTATAATAAAAAACTGGACCGCCCCTTCTGAACCAATATTTTTAGGTGCCCCCCCCCTTTTTCGGTCAAAAATACCTCATGACCCACCCCCTTTTTTTGCCAGCCCACCCCCAGTTATAAATAATGAATGGTCCCTTACGCACGCTTGGTATTGTTTAGTTCTGAATCATGGAAATTCTAAAAACATTGTCATTGTATTTGAAAGGGTTCGCAGCTACACCATGTAGTTGTTCCTCTTTATAGTATCAGAAGCTATTTTGAATTCCCTGTAGCAGAAAATCTTGTGCTTAAGGTGGCTCTCTACAGTTGTTGAGAAATGGCAGCGAAAAATAAGGTCTTCTCAACGATACCAAATAATTTGCTTTTTATTCAAAATGGCGAATTTTTTGAAAGTATAAACGCGGGTGCAAAATTTATTCTTGAAGTGTACGTTAGTTTGAAAGAATCAAATTATGAGTTGCTATGGTAACAATATGGCCCAAGCGACAGCAGTCAGACATTAAATTTTACACTAAAAGTGAGTTTTTAAAATTTGTAGGGGAAAAGGGAATATCTAGTGGGATATTTTATCAAACAATTATGCGGAGATATCAATATATTGAACTTTTGAGATGAAGCTATTTCAGAAAAGGTTGTCCTTCAAAAATCTCAAACCTTAAACTCTAAGCGCGCAATGTGCGATGGGTAACTTCTTACTTAAGGCCTAAAACGTGGAATTTTGCATTATAACTATGAGAAGACAGATTATAAGCACTTAATATCAATAAGATGTACAACTATTAGTGTACTAGGATTATTTGCTCAACCAACAGCCCTAAAAAGACGTTAGCCATCACGCTTTGCGCGCTTAGAGTTTAAGGTTTGAAATTTTCGAAGACTGCCATTTTCAATTAGCTGAAAAATTTGTTCCACAAAAACTGCTTTACAGAATTTTTCAAAAATTGCGTATATTAAAACCAAATGACTAGTACTTTTAAAAAACAAAATTTCAGAAAAATTGACGGGAGGAAAAATAAAAGTTACTGCACTTCAAACCTTGTGTGGCGAGATGAAATTTTTGCTTCAACCAATTATGCAATGCACCTATCAATGTTTAGCTCCAGCACGAGGGGGAGGGGTTCGGGCTTATGTGGGGTATTTGATCATCAATTGGATCCCCACCATGGGGATTTTGATTAGCATTTTGGGCCCCGAGTTGGGGCAATTTGACCTAAATGACCTTTATTAACAGTGGCGTGCTGGGAACTATTTCTCTGTCAACCAAGCAACTGTCAACCAATCAACCTCGTTCCCAGTGTCTTACCTCCGCTCACCCCCTGCTCCGGAGAGACCCTGCTATGGTGTGGTCACGTGAGTCATGACCACGTGCTATACTCAGTAGGGGTAGCAAGGGGTGGCATGATTGAGCACTTATTAATTGACTAAAAATAGCAAGTGTATATTAAAACAAAGAGTGTTTTAAACATCCTTTAGAGTTTAGGTGATAAATAAGGTCGAACTGTATTAAAGCCAGGTAACTGAAAGAGTAGAGAAAGCATCACAGATGCGCTATCTAGTGTATATAAGATATCTATGGAATTAATACACTGATATCGAAGAAACTAGACTCAGTTCCGAAATATCATCAACTCGAACCGACTTGTCCACGTAGCTCAGTTGGCAGAGCATTGGACTAGTATCCCAAAGGTCTCGGGTTCGATTCCCACCGTGGCCAAGCAAACTTAGGATCCACACTTAGTGTAACATCACAAACATCATATTCACCTGAGTACATAACACCAACACACACAAAATAACATAGTATTTATTGCAATTTATTGCAAGATGGTGGGGGCATTTGACCAATATTTATTGCCCAACGGTGGGGCATTTGATTGGAAATTTGCTCAAAAAATCAAATGCCGACCCCCCCCCCCCTCCCCTCTGGGGCTTAACATTGATAGGTGCATTTCAGCTCACTTTTTGAGCATGCATGCCCGGAAAACTTTTCAAAACATCTTTAAAAACTGCAAGTTTGACTTTTCATCTTCCAAACTTTGGTCTTTTCATAAAATTTATAAATGTAGGACTTTAGTTTTACATTCACTTGTTAAATAAAAAGAAAATACACCAGATATAAATGTGGTAATTTAAGTCGAATGGTAGGAGTTTGTTTAAAATACATTTATTGCTTTAAAGAATGAGTCTGAACGCGCTTGACTAGCTATTTTCGGGGCACCCGAAAATGGCGGCATATTAGGTTGTACGAGTGCACGACATATAAAAATATGCCTGCTTCAATTTGCAAGTCTGGCGTTTTCTCTCCATGAAAAACGTGGTAGGGCAAGATTCTGAAGTAGGAATCACAAGAATTAAATTAAAGAAGGATGTGTTCGAGACGCGGCTTTCAAGGAAGGATTCTCTTGGTTTTTCAAAGAAGACCCATAGTGAGTTTGCGAAGTGCTTGTTGTTGAATTTGTGCGAGGAAGAACGCGGCGAAAGTAATTTTATACCGGTGGTAAGCGAAAAACTCTTTTGACCCATTGTATGTTTTAACATGATCAGAGCTTCGGCTTTATACATATATTTTGAGGAATTTATATCATTCGCTGCTTTGTTATTTATACATGAGCATCTGAAATTCCCAGCAAGTGTATTTCACGATTTTAATAAGGAGAACGGCAGAAGATAGGGAAAAAACAAACTTTCGCTAAATAAAATGTTATGTTAACACTTTTAATAAAAGGGAATCAGTGACCGCTTACCGTTCCTCTTGAAGCTTACCGTTACTCCAAAAATAGCCGTCGATAGCGCAGATTTTTTTAAAAAACAATTTTTTGTTTTTCAAACGGCGTTTTTCTATTACTTTCCTTATTAAATTTCCGAACGACACTTGCCAGCGCTCGCCGGAAGTGCGAATTCCGTGTGACACAAAACAATCAGCAATTTGACGGGAGATTCATATCTGTACTTACCTCATCTGTGACACCGTTGATGACCCACGCCCGCGATCATTGATGAACTTTAGATCAGGCATTAAAATACGAAATTTTTACAAGGACACGCTTTGCCTTCAGAGGCGTATTTTTGGTATAAATGCGCAGACTCACGAGAACGAGTGCCGAAGCCACAAGTTTAGCGTCGAAGACGCCAGCTTTTAAGGGGGTCTCTGAAATGGCATTTCCAGAGTTCTGAGAACAGAATTTGCAAAATCTTTGGCCATTTTGCGTGGATTACATTAATATATTTTCAGTTTAATATATTTTCAAGTACACACTTTTCAATTTACAAGGGCACATTCGCCTTTTACAAGGACACAAAGTGTGTACAAGGACACGCTATTTTAATGCCTACTTTAGACTTCGCTATTGCTTTCCTTTCCCCGGGGGTAAATAGCCGGGCGGAATTAGTACCCTCGCATGGCGCTCCGCGCCGTCGGCTCGGGGGAATATTTGATTGTTAGCAATATGGAAAATTTAGACCAGGAATCAAAGTCACAGTCTCAGCCAGAAATTTTCATATTTTCTGAACCCCGCTTTCCCAGTGGGCGAAATTGCTTGGACGAAGGGAAGTAAGTTCACCGCGTCCTATTTTTTGACGGCTTTTTTTTCGCTCATGAATCATACCACTGACACCACCAGCTGTACATCTTCAAAAAGTAGAACAGAAACCTTGAATTCCACACGCTTTTGACACGCTCAGAATATTTTATATTACTAACGGCAATTGTTTTTAATAAGAATAATTTCGTATTTTGTTTCACAATTACTAGAATAAACCCCAACAAAATTTATCATTAAAAAAATATTGTAACCCCCCCTCCCCCGCCAACTCAGAACACTTTTGGAAAGACCCTCTTGTTAACATTCCTGAACTACGTACACCAGTGAAAGAAATTTACAGTCGTTATGAAAGTTATGTATTTATTACTAAATAATAGAATCAAAATGCTGTTTAATTATTGCATTCAATTTCACACCATGATGATTCATACATTTACAGTTTAATTAAAAAATGTTTTATATATTTATAATCGTACGGAATTGTCCTACCAACATCATCTTGTTCAGTCGACGATAATCTTAATAAACAGGACATCGTCCTTGATGTACTGACGATTATTCAAGCTATCGAGTGGCATAAAGAGCGGGGAACCCGAAGCGATATTCATGTCAGACTTCGGACGTCGGAAAGATTAACAGTTCGAGGATCTGAATTAAACGCATCAATCATATGATCTCCATTTCCTTGATCCAACAGCATCATCGTGATCTTCTTTTCAAATGGTCAGGTTTGAAGAGCGTCGTAGTCGACTCTCGTCAAAACAAAAAACAAAGACAAATGCGATCCCTTTCCAAAGCCATCTCCATTCAGAGGGTGGCATCTTGCCGTTTTCTCTGATAGTTTTCAATCTTCCACAGTAAAGTTCCATTGTAACTGTGGATAGCTTGTTGTGCACGGGAACCTCGTTGCGACTCCAAATCGGTATAATTTTGACAGTATTGAGGGCAAGAGACCCATCCCTTTGATCCACCGTACTTTATTGCAAACGATCAATAATTGAGATCTTATCTTGCACTTCTCTTTCTAAACTCATATCCCGTTCACGTAAGTTGCTGCTTTCAGTAGTAAGGTCCCTACTTTTACTTGTTAGCTCATGCACTTCATTTCTAATCCTTGCACCACCCCCACCACTGGATTCCAAGCTTTCAACCCGTCTTTTCAATCCAGTCAACTTTCCCACTAGCCTTCTGCGCAGACGTTGTTAGTAGCCGAGGCCCCACCTAACGTCTGCTCACATTCGCTATGCATTTGACTTCCCGGCAATGGGACTAGCTAACAGTCGTGGGTAGAATGTCGTGGGTAAAAGTCGTGGGTAAAAAGTCGTGGGTAAAAAGTCGTAAGTCGTGGGTAAAAAGTCGTAAGTCGTGGGTAAAAAGTCGTGGGTAAAAAGTCGTGGGTAGTGGGTAAAAAGTGGTGGGTACCGAAAAAAAAGTCGTGGGTCCCGAGAAATAAGTCGTGGGTTCCAAGCAAAATATTTCCATACATTTACGGCCTTTCTCCCTTTGGAATGCGTGTTGTTTTTTTCTTCTGAGGCTTTCCCAAATATACATAGTCTTAGGGCGCGTTAAGGCCGGATTTTTGATATCGGCAGATCGGTTTATAAATATTATAACCAGGTGTGGATGAAACAGTTCAACTTCGCGCCCCATATAGCTCAAACATTTGGACGTTTTAATCTTATAGACAGATAACTATTGTAATTCTTCAATAGGAAATAGTGCTGCATTAAACAGCTAATTTAAATTGTGACATTCAGGGCTTCACTAATTTGTTGATCGATGTTCTTACAGTAATAAGCGAGGAATTTTCACTTGGACAGTGTTAATTTAATGCCATGTCTGTTAATTTACTATAGGGAAAAATAAAAGAAAGAATTTGAGAGATTTCACTTAAATACATATTTAGTATCTAACCATGTTGCAGTAGTGAATCTAGTGTCAAATATACAGTCACATACAGTATTTGTAACATCCATGGTTTGACTTATCTTTCAGTAGGCTTTTGTCGGATTATTTTACCGTAGGTTTGATAACAGAGAGGTATACTTCTACATATTTCTTGAGCATCAGTTTCAGCGAAGTCAATGGCAAGTTGGAATTTGGAAATTTCACAGCGCTCATTTAATAACAGTCCGAGTAGCATTGTTTACATGCAAGGTTTGTTCCGTTTGTAGTTTGCGATATTTCAGAAACCAAAAGATCTCTCCATGGAGAGAAATAGCCGCCCGCTGCCGGTTATAGCCGGCAGTTTTAGGACCTTGCCGGCGATTTTTAATTTCAAAGCATATAGGGGATGGGCGAAAACATTTATTCAACGATGACTCGCTTACAATATAACACGCACGTACATATACACAGAACTTGTTAATGTTTGTTCCTACACCAACTATTAGAATGTATTGCTGCGTTCTCACAAATGTTGTATTGGTTTACATCACTATTACTTTGCCTATGGCTATGCCCACTCCAGAACATTTAACTAAACTTTGCTTGGAAAACAGCCGGCAAAAATTTTCATTTACAAAAAACAGCCTACAAAATTTGACATATTTTCAGAACGTTATTTCGAACCCTGCTCTCTATTGAGGGCCGTAGGAAGCTCTTTTAGATTGGGGGGGCTGAAAGCGAGGGCCGATGGCCCGAGGAAATTTTTAAATTTAGAGTCTCTAAAATGCCATTTCCTGGACTTTGGGGGAAGATTTAACAGAATTCTGATAGTCAGAAAACAGCGTTTTA